GTTGGGGGCAATATGCTGACTCTCTGTAAACCGCTTAGAGAGGCCTGAAAGGCCTATGAAGCGGTATATAAGTCTACTGCTATTGCTATATTGTCAACACCCTAATTAACAACTAAAAGCCACACACAATCGGGCATATATAGCCAGTAGCACAGCCCAGAGCACGCATTCTGTAGAGAGAAGTTTCCTGAGCCTGAAAGCTTGAAAGAATAAACCTGGTCCTGGTTTGGTCCTGGTGACCAACTACTACAAATTATTCTGAATTTTTTTCTAGTTCCTGTATTATACTGGGAGACTTAAAGATATTTTAAGATGTTATTCTAAAGGAAAAGAAAATTAATGTAAAATACAACAAAATTACATGTTTGAAACTTTTATCAGTACATTAAACAGCAAATCGTATATTTCTAAATCTGCAATTTGCTATACAGATAGTCCTGGTTTAGGGACTGGCAACCCTTATAACTGAAAAGTCACTAAATAAAGACTTTTTTGTAGTTGTACTTGTGAAATAAATACAAGTAGTCTATACAAGTAGTCCTCGATTTACAACAGTTCATTTAATGGCAGCTTCATAGCTATGTCACTGAAAAAAGGGACTTAAGATTATTTTCACATGGCCATTGCAGCAAACCTATGGTCACATGTTCAAAATTCAGATGCTTGGCATCTGCTATCAGAAGCACTTTGAATTGTGGTCAGAAACCAGTAGGAATATATGTTATGCTGGGTAATGTCTTGACAAATCGTCAAAATGTTGGCAAGCTTTAACTATAATATTTACAATTCTTCCTCGGTGTTTTAGGTGAAATCTGGCACAATTTTTGACAACTTCCTGATCACTGATGATGAGAAGTTTGCTGAAGAAGTTGGCAATGAAACCTGGGGTGCTACTAAGGTGGGAAATGTTTTTTCACAGAGAAGAGATAATATGTGGCTTTTATAAAGCTTGGGAATTAGAAGCTTGTACCTTGTTCTCAAATGTTTAAGATTTTGAACTTCGGAAATGGATATGAACCAAGCTGTTATCTAGTGACTTGGCCTAAATCCCATTCCTTGTATGAAAGCACACATGAATAGCAATAGCAGTTAGACTTATATACCGCTTCATAGAGCTTTCAGCCCCCTCTAAGCGGTTTACAGAGTCAGCATNCGCTGTATTATGCAAAGTGCCAGGAAACAGTATATACAGTAGTAACCAAAAGAAATTAAAGATGCAAGAAGAAAGTCTAACTGAGATAATTACACTTCTTATCATCCTTATTATCACCATGCCCATATATTTTCTGTTTCTTAACATTCTCCTCCTTTGCCTCTGAGTCTAATTTCCATCCAATCCCTCCTTTCTTGATATCCCTCTTTCCTAAACCATTTGTGTTTCCATTCTACTCAGTATGGCCTTTGCCGATGGCATTCCTATTGATCAACTTTTCTTCAATTGTAGTGAAAAGATTATTACTTACAATGAATCGTGTGGCTTTCTTTTCTGACCTTTTTGTTTCAGCCTTATAGTGATTGGTCAGATTTAAATCTGTTTTAATGAAATAATGTTGGAATGACTCCAGATATTAAAACAATACATATCAGAAAATAATTGGGTCAAGAGTCATTATGACTTTTTTCCTAGTAAACACAATGCTTTGAGCTACAAAACAGTGGTTGAACTGGGCAAGAGTTTGGACTAGATGATCTCTAAGCCCCTTCTAGTCCTTAAATTCAACGATTATGTGAAACATTTGTTGTTGCAAATGAGTAAGACTTACATTTATCCAATTTCGAGTTTGGTCTTAATTGTGTCTCTACATTCAAGTTATAAAGTTGTTGTAAAACTTGAATATTCGTATTCATACACATGCAGCATCCTTCTCATTTGGATGCTTTTGCTGTAAGAGCACCTATTTCAGTTCAATATTAAGCAAAGTTCTCCCTCACAATTTGGAACCAAGATAGCAATTCCTGTTGTTGCCTACTCCAGGAAGAGTGAGAATTGAATGTTTGGTCACTGCTCACAAGAGTCCTGCCAGCGTAAGGAATTTTAAAAGTTAGAATACACGAGAGGGAACAGGTATATTAATTCAAAGCTTTCATATTGTAATCTTCACATTTTGCTAGGTTTTTAACAACACCGAAAATGTAACTGTTTTCATGTTAACGTTTTGAAAAGAGAAGCCCTCTTTGGGACTTAGGTCTGTGTATGTATATAAGGATTTCTGCACCTCAGTGAACTGATCAGTAAAATTGGAATATGCCCCAGACTTTCTATACTACCGTTTAGCCATAGATGCTAATCCCCATCAATATGGCCCTGAAAGATTTAAAACTGGAAACTCACACTTTGAGTATGTAAGTAGACAGACTGTTATTATCAGAGGAGTACTACTTTAAAACCTTACTTTAAAAAGTTTTTAAATTCAAGATTGTAATGCTTGGATTATCTATCATTGCACGCAGACTTTCAGTTTTGCAGCAGAGAGTGTATTCATGATGAATACTATTGTATTACATTTGATGAACAACCCTCCGTGTCCTTTAGTATCACAGCAAATGAAATTTGCACTTGCGAGACAGAATTGTAGTATGCAATATGCCATTAAACTATTCAATAACTGGAGGGTTCTTCGCGTAAGTGGGAGGTGTTTTTATGTAATGACCTGATTAATCTGAAGTAGCAGAAATAACTACACTTTGAATCTACGGTATATTTTTCAGTATGTCTCAGAATAATGATGTAATAACATTTAGTCTTTGTTCCATTTCACAGTACTTACGTTGTGTGAAAAAATTTACCGATCATAATCTGGAGTTTTCTAGATATTTTGGAAATTGATCGTGCTTGTTGGAGGTTCCAAGAGTTGGGTCAATATATTTGGGGGAAAAAACCCCAAAACATTAGGTTAGGTTACGTTAAAACTGCTTTGGCCTCATCTTTCATATCTTTGGGATGAATTGGAACAGTGAAGGAAACAGTTATTAATATTCCATATAACCTGGAAGGATAATGCAACGTAACTATTATTCTATATTTGTCATTAGCATTTTCCTGTTTGCAACAAAAACTATTTATTTCTGACATATATTATTGCCGGAAGTTTATATGCTGCCCATCTCATCAGTAAGGCGAGTCCTCACCTTTTATTGGTTTTCGTGAACAAAATAGTTTGCAGGATCCAATCTGGGTCGATCACCGGGACCAGAGGTTTTGTCTTCCAAGCTTTCACACCCAGAACTGCTAGAGAGAAGTTCCCTGAAGATGGGCTCCAGCATGAGTCCGAAAGTTTGAAAGGACAAAACCTCTGGTCCCAGTGATCCATCCAGAATGGATCCTGCAACATTATCCTGGGACATGTATATTTGCCTTCATTTGTGGCAAACTAGTTTCTTTGTCCAGATTATAGAGTACAATATTTCAACAAAGGGAACACTGTTATTAGAACAGTTCTCAGATAGGTCTGTTGCACAAGAGAGGAATGAACATCCTTTTAAGAGAACAGTGCCTAGCCAATGTAACTGGGGCTTTTGGAAGCAAAATAAAAACATTAATTCCAGATATCTTTTTCTTTGGTTTGGAGATGGGGAGTGTTGGGATTCAAGACAATAGGATTACTTTCCTAACAATCTATAGAAACCATTGCCATTCCTAATGAATAGGAATGGATTCTCAAAGAGCATTGGTTATAGTGGTGTATCATTTAAAGTTCTTGCACTCAGGCCATTTCTCAGTTTCTAACCCCCCCGAATGCATCACCCATTCTTTGCATTCAGCAGCTTCTCCATGCCACATTTCTCCATCTGGCACTTGCATCTATAGTTCAACACTGTTGGGATAGAAAGAATTGGCCTTTAAGCATTCAGTACAAGGTGGATGGTGGAGCCAGCTTGGTCTTGACCCACAGGTCCGAGTACTTAAGGAGAAGATTGAGGCTGAAAAGGGCAAGGAAGCTTTCCCCGTGTCAGGCCAGAAGCTTATATATGCTGGCAAGATCCTGAGTGATGATGTCCCCATCAAGGAGTACAAGATTGATGAGAAGAACTTCGTAGTGGTGATGGTCACCAAGGTATGGTTGAGCATCTCCTTTGCTTCATGATAACATTTTTTTTTTGTTCCAAAGGGCTGCTGTGTTTCAGCAGTTCCCCTTTGTATGAATAGTGCTAAAATCATTTTTATTAGGAAATGGGGTACTGGTATTAGTCTGTTAGGTACTTGAGGATTGGGGGTGGGCAGCCAAAAAGTATTATAGACATTGCTAGTAGTAGTAATCAGTACACGAAGAGCACTTTTTAGGCTCACCCTTCTTGGTGATACAGCAATTTAGAGTGGAAGAGCTTCACCTCCTTAGCTGAGACCCTCCTTTTGGTTTTCTGTTAAGAACAAAACAGGCTCAGGAGCTGCTGTTTCCTCACCCACCGATGCAGCAGCCACCTCTGAACCCACACCCTCCTCTGGGCCTACGGCAGCTACGGTTTCACCCCTCCAAGCATCCCCATCAAGTGAGGAAAAGCCTCCTGAAGAGTCAGTGACTGTTTCTTCCCTGGAATCGACAGTTGGGTAAGTTTGGCTTATCTCATCCTCCCACCACTCTTGCCAGTTTAGCAAGTAATTTCAGAATGATTTTTCAGAATAGCTCTGAAAATTCAGGATTCTTTTTACTCGGTATGTTTTGGAAAGCCTCAGTGCTAATTGTTGACTCCTAACCTAACCACTAGGATTTGCTAGTTTTATCCTATCCCTTTTAAAGAAATGATTACCGTATTTTTCGGATTATAAGACGCATCTTTTTACCCCTCAAAAGAGGGTGAAAATCTGGGTGCGTCTTATACTCCGAATGTAGCTCCACCCACCCGCTCCATGCGTCGCATTTTGGGGTGGTTCCATGTGGCGGGGATCCTCACTTTCACATGGAGCCTGATTCCCGAAGCAGAACCCTGGGGAATTGTGTTCAAAGCCTTCTCAATGAAAGCATTTTTGGGCGGCAGCACCACGATCCCCTCTCAATTCCAAAAGGTGCGTGTAGTGGCCCAAAAAAATGCATCGTGTTTCAGGTGGCAGGCAGTTCCAGCGCGCGCTGCCACCTGAAAATGCTTTCATTCCCAGTTCCCTGGTGCACATCGCAGAGCCACGCGCCCTCCTCCTCCTCTACAGACTCGCGTAAGATGTTCGGGCATAATTTGGGGGTGGCAGGTGGGGCAGGGGATGTGGCAGGGTGGGGCACGCATCTTACTCGAGTCTGGCAGCTCCACCACTTCTCTCTCTCGGCCGCTCTGTGCAGCGAAACATCTTGCACAGTAAAGAAAAACTTCTCATGAAGTTTTCATGAAGCCCTGGCAGCCACTTCTTGGAGCCCACTGCCCACAACCCAAAGTGCCACTGCCAGCGACCACGGTTTCACGCCTCCCCCTCTCCCGGCCGACAGGAGAGCAGAGGCAGTGAGCCGGGCAAAGTTACTCCTTCCGGGTGTCAGGTCTGGAAGGCGCCTTCACCGTAGCCCGACAAAACCGCGCTAAAGCTGGCAACAAAACTGCGTCGCTAAAGCCGCGACGTCATCACCGCAACGTCATCACCGCGGCGACAACAGCGCGGCGACAGAAGGGCGCTTTAAAACAGCGCG